TTAAGAAAGATAACCTAATACGCTGGTATACAATAATTTGTTACTTCTCTTGCAGTTAGCATCAATACGTTAGACTGTTTCATTCAGAGTGGTACATGTGTCACTCAAAACAACCTTTATTTCGTTACAGCAGTCATGGGAAGTGCTTGTTGTACAATTTGTAATCTCACCAGCGGTTGTGTCGCATCACAGTAATGGTGCAGACCACGCTGTTGTTACTGTAATTATTGTTCATGGATGCTGCCATTCAGTATTGGGTCTAAATTTCAGTTCTCTTGTTGGAGAATACGTGAAAAGAAAATGTATAGTTATGTTTATATTATTAATGTTTTAAAAGCCTTTTCTTCTGTTGATCTACTCTGAGCTTATGATTTATTGTACATGTAGCACTCAAAATCTCTTTTTACTTCATCCTCAGATTTTAGGTATAAGGTCTACCAAATGTCACCGCCAGTGCTGAACTGTAAGTTACTTTTGCAAGATTTCAGGATTATTTTGTCAGAAAACGCATGTATGTATTAGTCAGCATGCTCTCATGCAGCTCATGAAATTTTAAAAAATTAACGGTAGGCCTGTTCTAGTTTTTGTCTGTTATTATATAAGCCTTTGAAAGTAAATGTGAGGCATCGTGATGAAATCAGGCGCTCGTCAAAATAATGGAATCAAAGAAATTGACGTTTTTCTTCCCATTCAGCAATTTTTTTCTAATTTTCTTTTTTTGGCTTAACACCTTTTACATCCATATAAAAACCCATTTCTGCCTGGATTTTACAGGAAAACATTGATTAAATGCACAAAAAATGTACATTTTCAGTTTCCAAGAACTCTCAATCTGTGGAAATTGCCAAACTTTGGCGCTATTTTCTCGCTAACTTTACCTCTGAAACAAGGCGACTTTGACCTCTCTCAATCGCATATATTACGGCTTCTATTCAACGAAGATGGATATTTTTTTCACCAAAAGCAGGGCAATGGAACAGGCTTTAAGATGATACCAATAACTTCTATTGCTCAAAAATTGACGAGCGCCCGATTCCACCAGGCCATGACACATTATGAGGCATTTTTGACGACAGGGTAGTTTTTATCACCGGTACAGTTAATGTTCGTCAACTTTTTTCAGTTGTTCAATTTTCTTCAGTGACATCACCTAAATATAGTCAATGACGAATAACGCGAACACGGAAAACTTGAAATCATGAAGACCTCATACAATTTACCGTTCCCCAACTGAAATCTCTTTAATTTTGCGATTTTGGTCAACCCAAATAATGGATGTCTCAATCACTTTTGACAATCCCTGATGTGTTTGGGGTATCCATGCCTGACTGTATTTTTCATTTTTCCATTTCAGATTATTACAAAGTTGGTGAAACCCTAGGAGGAAGCTCATGCAGACAAGATGACTATGCAGCTTGGGGTGTGAAAGAATTAGAGTGAAGAGCAAAATGGATTAGGGGAAAGTTGAAACATTTGATTTTTGAAGACTGCTAAAATAATGGATGCTCATTCATTCGTCAGTGGTTGTGAATTATAGTCTCTGGAAGTGAAAATGAATGTGTTTGCTGAGGTTGAATGGTATACCTTCATGTGTATTGTTGAAATTATTTATATAGTGTCATATTGTAAAAATGTATTAATGTCACTCTCAAATGTGCTAGGTGTGCCCTTTTTGTGTGAATACATTTTAACAAAGTGAGTTATTATGTTATGTCTTAAAGAAAAAATACAAGTCATTGTATCAAAATGTTGGTCAGGAAGTCTTCAGTTTGTGTGGTTTTACTTTTTGTGTGTGTGTGGTTTGGGGGGGGGGCTTTGGTGTTATATTGACATATATGGGCATTTGTATAAATTTGTTTAACTTTTTGTTTATTAGTGATTTGAGGCTGTCTTATTCTTTCTGGTCCAGACATATGACTAGTATATTTAACTGGAGTTATCAAACTTGTAGACCAAATTATTATGAATGATCAGCAGTAGTGATGTTACCTTATAATATGATAGTTTTTATTGCTATTTCCCTGTAACTTCATTTATTGAAATATGTATGTGTATCCCATATGTCTGTAACTTTGGAAAATTGTGATAAAAGTAGTTTTGTATGGGTTTGCTTTTTTTTTGGCTGTTGTTAGGGGCGCGTACCGTTAGCTCTGGACTGTGGACGCATACGGTACGCCTACGCTTCAACAGCACTGCACTGTTTTAGGGACGCATGCATACGCATCCACAGCTCCACAAAATTATTCACCCGTATTTGTGACATCGAAGTCACAGTAGTACCAAAGATTCTCTACTAATCTACCAAGATGATCAGTTGTCCTAGATTCTAGATCTATCTCGCGCCAGGGAGTGACCCTGTCTTAGTACGTGACGGCCCGTGATACGAGGTAAACAAACGTTCCACCGCTCTTGAGTTGAAGTTGAAAGTGTGCTATTTTGTCTGCAGGCAGAGAGAGACAAAGACAGAGAGAGAATGGGGTAGAAAGAGGGAAACAGAGAGGGAGGGAGGGAGAGAAAGAGAGAGGGAGAGAGAGAGAGAAGGGGAGGGGGAGAGACATGGAGAGAGAAGGGGAGGGGGGAGAGACACGGAGA